TTATGATTCATCTTTATAACATGGTTAGTTTTTGTATTTGTTAATAAACGAATACGTATAATATATTTTAACAAAACAAATTGTTTTCCATTGTTAGCTGGACAAACTTTTAAAATATATTTATTGTTTGTTATCTGGAACTGACAATAATAAGAATTTAAAACAACTAATATTAGTTATAAGTTATAACTTATAGGCRATAAAATAATTTAGTCGAGCGTAAAATTTTACTCTAAAATTGTTTTTCGCATTCTGGCATTTTTTGTTGTGAAAAATGTAAATTATGGTGAATTTTCAGATTTGCAGTATGATAATAAATTTTGAAGTGATATAATATTAGCGGAGAAAAATCCAATTTTAGATTAGTGTGAAATAGGGAAATTGGGCTTGAATATCAGCCATTGTAACTAGTATTTTTTTAATTTGAAAGGAAGGGAAAACCCTTATTCATTGACGATATTACCCATTAATCATTACATATTTAATTTGAACTATTTTTTAAGGTATCAGAAAAACAATCAACGAAACTTTGAATTACAAGATTTCTCTAAACTCTAATTGGATTTCAGTTTTGTCAATATTTCCAGAAAGCTATACAAGTACATAGTAACACAGAATCTACCTCGTAGCATATTGGGAATTTTGAAAAATGTATGGTACTTAGAGAGTGGTATTTAGTATATTTGTCATTATATCAGTACGTCAGTTAAATCATGAAGTAGCGTGCCAAAATTTGTTTTTAATTTATAAAAATAAATGCTTAGTCAACAAAGAATTGAAACCCTTTACGTAGAAACTAATGACATTACACGACCTCCCGTAGTCTCTGCCAGTCACCTCCGTAAGTTTGTGATTTCATTTCATATTAAAATATTCATTACAATTTAATACAATCTATAGTTATTTATAATATTTATGTAATAGGGGTTGCATGTTAGATGATCATTAATTACTAAGAAAGTTATTGAATCAATAGTGAGCTAATGTGGTCCCTTAAACATAATTGTTTGTCCCTTGATACTATTTTGTATGCTGTGTTGCTTTTCCTACGTATTCATATCCAATAACTTTTAGTCTTATTTAAAATTTTTTTTTTTATTAGAATAAGCCTCGGAAGCGAAGGCCACTGGCTGACGTTTAACAATTTTATTCTTATTTAAAAATATATAGCATACAACTACAAAATATTAACAAGCCTCGAAAAGAACAAGAAGAAAATATTATATTTCTAATACGTGGAAAAAATATAAAAATAATAAAATATCATTAAATAATTATTTAAAGACATTGGGACCACATTTTTRTGCTAAAAAATTATAAGACTTTTGTTATTGTGATGTTTAATATTATAATTATTTATTTTTTACTATAGGTAGGTATTACATTATTATTAATGTCGGGACATTTTTTGAATTGTATGAACTTATAATTTGTTTTTTGTGTGACGCACTAAGTATCAATCTAACCTACTTGATAAATATATTAAATTATTATTGTAGCAATATTGTATTATTATTATTTTCTTTGAATCCTACAATATAAAATATTTGTTCTCGCAATCTAGTTGTATTTGCTCAAATATAAAAAAGTAAAAATTGCGCAATCGTGTTACGCCCTTGGTGTATAGGTAGATAAATTCGTTTTAACAAAAGTCAGTGAAAAATTCAAATTCAAATAGAATATTTAATATTATACCCAATAATAAATTATATCATACTAAATAGAAGTGATAAATTTATATTATAAACGTATTTTTTCTACTTAAAATTAAAGAAATAAATATACGTCTACAGATCATATTATATTGTAAATCATTGTTATATATGTTACTTGTAACAAAGTTGGGGTTTATGTATTATTAATATATATATATGTAATAAACAAGGTAATTCTTCTAAAAGGTAAGCATTTTATAAAATTATTAACGTTTTACGAAATATTTTGTAACATAATTTAAAAATAAAAAATATTACACAGCATTCAGTAATTTAAATTTTTCAACACAATACATTTTTTTTGTTTTTATTGGTTTAAGTTACAGAATTTGTTACTGTGGAAATAACTGTACGGATAATATTTCAGAAAATATGAGTTGATTATGTTAGAAAAAAAATGAGGAACATATAGAAAAATGGAAATCGTCGTCTTCAATGGGTCATTAACTTTAATGTCAAGGGTTTCTTGAACGCAGAGCACAGACGAATTTTGAATACTAAATATACACATGTATGAAGATTATATTGTTATTTTAAGAATTTAAGATTCAGAGAAAATGTAATATTACTGTTTGAAAAATATCATTCTATATTATAGTTAGGTCATGTAAATGTATACATTATAATTTATAAGTAATTTTTATGGATTCAACACACAGATATTTTACAATAATTATAGCAGGTAGATCACATGAAAGTGTGATTAAAGAAAAAAAAAATATTCACAACGGTTTACAATTAAAAGTATCATCGTGGTTATTAAAACATTTAAAACATTGTTTTGTAAAATTAATAAATAAACATGAAACACGACAACAATTTATTTAGAACAAAGTATAATAGTAATTATAAGTCATGGCGCCAAAATTGTTAAGTATCAARTAACACGGAACCAATTAAACGATGTTTAGATCCAGTATTTAGTTTAAAATTAAGACCCACTATCATAGGTACTAGATAATYTAGATAACTTTAGTACGCATTACGTGTATCATGTAATCATTAATCTAAATGATATGATATTTAAATAACGATAATCTTATAATGTACTTTTACCTATAATTTAAGTGTAAGGTATAAAAAATAACGCTGTAGTTAAAAATGTTTAAAKTGTACGTTTGTATAATATGTTGGATTTAAAAAACAAAAACAAAAACCCAACAACCCAATTGTTGCATGCAACAACATAATGTAAAATATTTTAATAAAATACGGGTTTTAGACAATTTAAAAATGTTTAAAGTGTACGTTTGTATAATATGTTGGATTTAAAAAACAAAAACAAAAACCCAACAACCCAATTGTTGCATGCAACAACATAATGTAAAATATTTTAATAAAATACGGGTTTTAGACAATTTAAAAATGTTTGATGTTTGATATATTTGGTCCCAAAATATGGTTAAAATCATATTTTAGTGCACTGAGGTTAGTAATATGTGTTATAAGTAATCATCATGCGATAACTTATGCAYAAGGTAATCGTTTTCTATCGGTTGAGAATTCGTGTTGACCAAGACTTCGACTTGAGTTKGAGATGGATCTTTGATAGAAGGGCATGACTAAAAACATCAGCTAACTGAGTTCTAGTTCGTTATTTAATATTTATTTTTAAGCAGTTAAACGTCAAGTCTTACAATATTTTTTTTTGTCATAAAATAGGATGAACCACTTTTTTGTAAATAAAATTTGATTAAACGCGYGCAATTTTAGATGTATAATTAATGAAACCTACTATACTATTATTGAAAACAAATTGATCTCATTTAAAATGTAAGTTTTTATCAACTAACATTAAAAATTATATGTTTAATTAATACGTTATCTGTAAAGAGAATCAAATCAATGAATATTAATTGAAATCTTAATAGTTTCAAACATTTGTTATTTAACTTATGCAACGGAATCAGAAAAAAATATAATAATGTCAACCATATTTAATTTACCAACGTTATTCTTATTTACACTTTTTACTGTAGTTGAATTCGAAGGTCTATTTATTGATAAGCTCGTTCAGAGAAATACAACTTTATATCGAAAATACTGTTGTTGCTAAAAATTGGTTTAGTGGTTTTTGTTTAAGCTCAATTTGTTTATCCACGTCAAGACGAATAGCAAAGTTTGCCGAAAAATATCATATAATTCTTGAACAAAATTTAATTTTGTACCTATAAGCCGAATATATAATGGCAGGTAATTATAATAATGGATCTAATGCACTTCCTAAAATAGGTCCCTCAGTAGCCTCGTCACTATAGTACGATGTGTATTTAGCTGTTGTTTTCTGACGCCACTTCCAGCTCAACTAAAATTTATTAAACGTGTCTACTGTTTAATCGTATCTAYAAGAGACAGCAGGAAAAGTAATTTTCCAGGTTTCATGTAGACGACCAGTCACGACAGCTACGATTCAAATTAATATACGAGTAATAATCATATTACATATTTGTAATAATTTAGAAGTACAAATTATTTATATGTGTCTTATAACATATAATAATATATAATCAAAAAGTGATCCAAGACATGTTATAGGTATAAATAGCAATGAGCATATTGACTCATTATCTGGTTCCACTGCCAACCAGTCTTATTTGGATCCGATTTTATCACCTTACATCGCACATCCATACAGGAGTTTTGGAAACTGGAACAGGATAACCTACTAGAAACTTAAGCTTTTTATTATAGAAATTTATTCAAAAATATCCTTACTGAATCTCGAGATGTTATTAAAGATAAGTTGGTCTACTATAGTCAAATTTGTCAGACTACGCACGGGTCACAGTCTACTTCATACTACTAATTTAAATGGGACTCAACAGTAGTTTGTATTGCCTCATACCCAATTGTAGTGAGGTGAGGACCACTATACGACTCCAATCTACGACTAAATTGTCCACCTCTTTTTCTCCAAAAAATTGTATTTAAGTTTGGTTTTCCAGTATGGGTATCAACTTTTCCGTCATAAACACTGTAAGTATAATTACGAACACGTTCAATTTTATACTGCRATCGGGACTGCAAATTTAAAAGCGTGAGCTTTATCATTTTATATGCGTAATTATCGATTTTGTGTTTCAATAATTGTCGAGATATTATAGTACACTTGTTAAAATCTCATTAATAAATCACACACACACACACACACACCAAACAAAAAAAAAAACAAATATTATCTTTTTACAGATCACGAACTTAAAAATATATGTTACCTATCTTTTACAAATAAAAAGTCCACAGTAGTCTTATAACAAACGCAATGTGAATGGATAAAATAGGGGGGGGGCAGTAGATAGAATTAAAAATAAATTGTACTGAGATTGATACATCATCATTGTATACATAATTCGTAATTCTGTAAAAAAAATAATTTACTATAGTTCAATATTTGTTTTTAAAATTATAAAAATTGTGTTTAAATTATTTTACTAACAATTATTAAAAAAATAAACTTAGGTGTATATTTTATATTATAACAATTTTATACGTAATCAAATATTTGCTGAAAATATTTTAGTTGATATATAGTTACCGTCGAAAATTAATGTTTGTATATTCTGTATCATGTAGAACAAAAACTGAAATCACGCGTTCAATGCATTAGTAGGTACGATTCTTTTTAATTGAAATTATTTGGCATACATGCGAAACGTTTGCTCTAAATTCTTCATTAATCCGAGATTAATTAAATAAAACAGTCTCGAGACACGGCCGCTGGAACGTTTTATTACTGGACWGGAGGGTTTTTTTCATTTAGCGCGTGCCATGAATGACGCCACATAGTTTAATAATTTTCCAAATTAGAAGTTTGGCTGAATTGTGGTGTGGTTGAGGAGACTAGACTGCAGGGAACTATAGTTTTTAATGGAAACGGACATTTCGGACCAATGTAATGCCTAAAATATATTTAAAATGAAAATAAATTTTATTATTTATTAAGAAAACTGATAGATATTTTAAATTTTATAAATAATTTATATGATTTAACATTTATGTATTATGTGTTCCTAACTAATATTTGGTTAAAGTAGTTATGATTGAATGTGAATGTGAGGAGAGGTACTTCCCATTTTTTTTTATAATATATATCTTGCAAGTATATACATCTATAACGTTACTTCTTTTGATTATGATGAAGAATATTGTTCACTAATATTTTTTATTGGATGCTTATTTGTCCAGTTTATTGTGCACAATTGACCAGGAAATATATTTCATGTCGTTAAAATTACTTTAATTTAACTAATTATTTATTATTTTATATTCTATTCCGTTTTTTTGTAATGTAAAAACATACCTCAGTCAATAAGTACCTATAGTAACATTTTTATTACAGTGCAATCCACGATTTTTGTGGTCTTTGCACTTCCCATCCCGAGCTACAGTTGCTACAGGTGGTATAACTATCTCAGAGTTTTTTATTCTGTAGAACTAAATATATTTTATTTTGTTTTATWAGAAAATCATGATTTGATGAATATTATTTTTGTGTTTACAAGTACTTACGCACGGTAGTTCGTGTTTGATAACCAATGAGATCGGTAAATATAAAATACGTACTACATTTTTTATTAAATTTTAAAGTAGTTAGCACACACATAAACACACACATATTTGTATGATATAGGTACATGGTAAATTTATTATTGTTAATATTTTCTCTATTATTTGGTATAATATTTTCCATTTAACTGATTCTGCTTCATAACCACARTAAATAATTCCTGTCATTCTGGAATGTGTATATAAATTATAAATACCTAATCGTATATAATATTTAAAAGAGGCGTGATTGGAGGAATATAATAGTGTAACGTGGTCGGGGATGACCCGTTAAATATAAGATATTCAGGAAAGAAACTATAGTTCTTTTGAATATATTGTCACCATAGCTCGGGAGCATGAATGGTATTAGGATCTTAATATTACAAATAAATAACGATTGGTCAAGATTATTATTACTTACGGTTTACGAACAAAGTTACCAAGAATGTGGGATTGTACGGAGTTCAGGTGAGCGTGATGGTAATCGCGGAGAACTAAACTTCTCCTACATATTCCTATTTGGCCGCAGCCTTACAATAATATTTATATTACGGAACAGGAGGGGCTTAATACATATTCAGCATAATATTATTTATGTTATGTATATGATATACATTATACATATATATATATATATATATATATATAGGTTTCTATATCATGTTAATATAATATATATTGTATGTAACAATCGTTACATTACCCCCTTCCTTTTTTTTAAATTTAAATACTACCCTCGTTTTTTATGGTTTAACTGGTTGAAATTTTACTAGAATTATTTTCCACCACTATGAAATATTGAATATTATTAAASTTAGGTGATACATGTAATATATTATCTTACGTCATCATACACTGAACTTATGCAAATAAATATATATGTCCAGTTATTAATATTTTTTTGCTTTGTTTAGCCTCACAAATGCGATCATACGTATGTTGTATGTTTATTATTAACAGAGTCCCATATTTTTTGTTCTATTCATTATTTTTTGACAATAGTGTGTGTATATATCTAAAATGATTAGCTAAAGCCACATAATATTTTTTGATTGTCAATCACGTGTTTTTTTGTTAATTGTTTTTGTTTCTGTAAAATTTCAACCAGTTTAAAGCTTTTTTTTAAGTTTTTAAAGTTAAAGTGTTTTTTATTTAATGAAATCGTATCTATTTTTTGTTTATCTTTTTTTTTTACCATATATATCTATATATATATACACAATATCCTACCATACATTTACAGTTTATTTATGTTATCGTCCGACATTTGGATTCTGACTTATTCTTCAGTATCCCAGTTCCGTTGTCGGATTAGAAATGTCACCGATCCCTCATCTAGTGTTGAATCATGTGCTGTTATGACTTCAGTGTAGTGATATAGACTGAGTATGAACATGGTGACTTGACTGATAGTGGCCGCCGTATGTTTGGGTTTGGTGCTTATGATTCGTGGAAATGGTTCTAAATTGGTACTGTCGTGGGCGGTT